GTTCGGATTGGAGGGAGCATTTTGCACGTTCCTAACACCTCTGGCTGATGTTGACTAACAAGTGTCACTTTGGTCACATCTGTAAACACCAGTGAAGCTGCAAACTCGAGTTCTAGGAATTTACAACTCTTCACAAGGTGGCTGGCTTGCACAAGTTAAGCCGTGTACCATTCGGTGCTCCCACCAAACCGAACTGCGCCGAAAAAAGGTCAAGAAAAAAAAGACATACATAATTTGAACGAATCACGGAATGATCAATCGACCATATTCTTGTGTCGGATGTTTCAAAAGTTTCGCCTAAAAAACATTTTAACAGCTGAACAAACTGTAGCCAAACAGGCTGGAATGATTCAGTAAAGAAATAAGCGAGAAAAAGATACCACTGGGAGGAACAAGACGAACAACAGTATCGCTTTCGTCCGCGAATCCATCCACAAGTAAATGCCGTTCGACGATTTCTTCTCCACTGTAATGAGGTCAAAACCCTATTCTGTAATTTGCAACAAAAACATGGGTAATTTCATTGTTACAATCTATGACTATTGAAAACATATACAATAGCTCTCACTGCACAAGCAGGGGCAAGTCATTGAAGTAAGGGGGAGCGAGGAGGATGGGTTTAGCGCGGCACCAACCCGTTTTCCACCATTTGTCGAAGCGGGCAAGCGACAACTGCTTGCCCGACAAGCGTGGAGAACGGGCTTCTGCCACGCAACAACCAGTACTTCGGCACGCTCAAGCCTCTGAGCGAAAACTAATCTAGGTAAAGGAACAGGTTCATTCAGATGAACATTCAATGAGGTAGAATGAGAAAAAAAATGAAATGACGAAACAAAAACCTCACTTTGACGAGGATTTCCGGTCATAAACGCTATAACACCGTGCTGTCTTATTAGAACAGAGCCTTGCAATAGACATTTCGTGAAAATCCACCCTGAAATGAAACATATCTTCCATGGGAGTACGAATCGTGGGAATGATTTTCGTGGCCCTGCTGGAGGTCGCACAAAAGAGCGACGTATCTATGTACTATGGCGCATGCGACTCTTGCAGTTTGCGCTATCCTAAGCCTAGGCCTTGGGCAGGGGGAGATGTATAGAATCGCCGCTGCGTGCTCTCGCTGAACTGAGTTATCACCAAAATAAAACCCTCTCGTGCTCAACCAAGTTCAAACCAGGAAGTTGTTTGAAAATTCTGACAGGTCAAGCCAGCAAAATGAAACGTGCTGCGCCAACTGATCTCCATAGGCGTTTTGGACATTATCAGCTACGCACTGCCCCCGCCAACTCTGCCAACAACAAGCAACAGATTTTAACCGACTTTTTCCAGGCAGATTGGGGTAGATTCCGCTGACAGCAAGAGTTCTTGGGGTAGGCTCGACCCCCTGAACGCGAATATCACATCCGCTGGGCCCGAAAGTGCCAGGCACGACACAGACGCCAGCGCCAAATGCTTACCAGGAAAGGTCAACAGGTCAGCCTGGCCATTTGCAATGAGATGCACATCGTTGTACCCGTCTTGAGACGGTGAACTCAAAACTATCTTCAAAATCTGCGGAACGATTCTCTGAGCGGAGTTATTGAGGTTTTTCTTTACTGTTTTTCTTCTTACGGGCGCGCTGGCACCGAAGCGTTGGCACCGGTAGCGCGACTCGCAGCGCTCTTCGCGCAAAACAGGTTTCATATTCGTGTTCAGGGGGTCAAATAACCCCTAGGGACGCCACCTTAGCAAAATCTGAGCTTCTGACTCAACTTCGAAAAAACGGGGTATGGATAGTCATGGCTGACTGATAGCCAACAGCGATACTATGACTAGCATACTGGTGATGACTGGTCTTCGAACTGAAATAACTCTTCAGTCATGTCTTTTTGCAAACAACAGTACCTGGCTTACTTATTTGTGCCGTCTGCATCATTTTCTTGACTATCGGGAGGAAATCCCATTCCGAGACCAGTCATCGATGGTAGGTGAGCTCCAATCTGCTGCTGATTACCCATGGAATAGCCCACATTTTCCAAGTGAGGTCGAAATATCAGATTCGGCTAGAAACTTGTCCCCAGGGGTAATTTAACCCGCTGAACATGAATATGATGGTATTTCATTGCAAAAACCCTTGTGACACGTTGTTTACGAGGGGTATCAAGCAAGAACCCTCTTTAGGTCACACTGGGTTCTACACTTGCAGAAAAAACAAACGTTTGCAGGTTCCTTTATAAGGCAGTGCAGGCGATCAGAGATGTCAGAAGCTTTGTCGGCTATGTTCCTGGACAAAATGCAAAAAAAGCCGTCTGCCGCAGAACCGATCCTATACGATCGTCTTCGCCCGAAGACAACCCGTCCCCTAGCCCTCTTGCCTTCATACTACCGACGTTTTTCAGCATGTGCTTCCATACATAAATGTAAAGTACGCTTCCACGTTTCCTTGCGATAGCACGTGAAACGAACCCGCGGGGATAAGACCCTCCTTAACTCCGCTCAGAAAATCGCTCCGCAAATTCTAAACGTAACTGTAGATTTTGAGGTTCACGTCCCAAGACGCTAACAACGGTGAGATATTCACATAGGAAAGTGGCCAGGCGACGCTGTTCGCTGACTGTTCGCCTTTCCTGGTTAGATCACAAAAACCCGCTGAAAACTGGCATGAGGTGCTTTTTTCATCTTGATTACAAATATGGTATTCATTTGTGGCTCTGGTGTAACAAGTACGCTACGATCGTCTGCGCAGGTCAGGCTGAGTTGGCCTAATCACGTATTCTACCCACGCTCAGCCTTAGAACAATAAACGGTGCTGGTGTCTACTATGCAAGTTTTTTATCGATCTGGATGAGAGGTGTGGCCGGTTAGAAGCGATTGTCGTATTCGTGATTCCATACCGGCGCTACGGCTAAAAATGAATGTCTGCTCGTGATAAGGGTAACGAATATCTCAGCATAAAGTTCACACCGATTTTTGTGAGAAAAGTGCGGCGTGAAATTGGCGTCTTGTGGTGCCTTGTCACGCCAACGCTAAAACACTGTCATAAGCTCGCGACCAGGCAATCGAAGGGCGACATCAGCCACAACAAATTTTTTCGAGTTTTTGGTGTAGTAACGGTTTCATACTATGTTCCTTCGTTGACATTCCGTAGTAAAGCGAATGGGTGGGACCTAGCTAAGTGGGCGGAGTCTAAAACACTGCGCAAGCTCTTAGCCTCCACGCCAAGCAATTTTGAGCGAAAAAGCTACACCCGATATGGCTGTGGAACTGCGCATCCGGTATGGGGAAGGCACCTCCTAGATAATCACAAACTGTGCATTCAAATAAAATTACAATTAGATCCTCCATAAAACAATATTACTGCAAGCGAAAATTTAGAATGATAGGTCGAAACGAAAAGAGACACACCGATTATTCAACACTGATTCATCGACAGCACTGACATACTGGTTATCGATTACTATACCATTGAATAGGATCATATAAAACTAAAAACTATTTGAGCTATATGAACTAATTACGCAGAAACATTTAAGCAAATTCCATAACAAAACTCACCGCTATATATGTAAGTAGACAAATAAGAAGACAGAAAACAGAAAAACAGCGCAGGTTATAAGACTTCTTACTGCAAATAAAATTACAGAACCGCCGTATTTGTCGTCCACAATACCACCGCATTGCACTGAAAGTGACCGCTTATTTGTTTTCAACAGAAGGCGTACAGTGTTGTTGATAAGGCCGCGTTCATAGTTTGCGTCAGCGCATGCCATCGTACGGCAGCGTTTCGAGCGTATGCCGCTCAAATTGCCCGCGAAAACGCTGGAATACGCTGACCTTCGGCATCCACACTTTCCAAGTCGCTGACATACGCTGACGTTCGCTGGATGGATATCTACCGTTTCCTAGTCGGACGCTGACGCACCGTATGAGCGCGGCCTAATGAGCAAAATTTTTGCGGGCGCTGTTCGACTAGGAGAGGGGGGATTTTGCATTTTCACTGCTTTCTATCGACGTCACCCATCATCATTGCTTTACAAGAGTCGACAAAGAGAGCAGTAGTTTAGTTTTTTCTACAAACTTTGACTGGTATCACTCCACAAGTCACTAATTATGGCTCGACACGGCAATGGGAAGCAGCAAAAAGTGCGAAACGACCCAACCACCATCCCCTGAAGCGAACCGCGCTCAATATCGGTTTAGCAAAACAATGACGAAAAGCAATGGATATGTTTTACGAACAATTCTCAAGTGTAGCCAGCGCGGTTCCAGCAAAGTAACAGCTGCATATTGTCCATGAAGGATGGAGAATATACCAGTAAGCTGCAAGAGATCGTTGTGTCACTGAGAGTATTTTACCGAGGAGACAAACGAAAGTGATTTCCTAGGAAAAAAATAATTCTTGGATATATAGAACTGAAGCTCCACATGCAGATAGCTAATGTGATAAGGTAACTTTCAACAATAGCAGATTTGGATCGAATCCAATTTACCACCTCTGGCGCTAGAATATTCCTTTTTTGCGGCCTTGTTCCCACGCTCCACGTGAATGAGGCGGGAGTATTCATGAAATTTCAGGGTTTATCTTGAGTAAACAAGAATAGCGAAGCCTTACTAGCTTCTGCAATGAATTCTGACCATTCTTCAATTTTTTGGCGTATAAACGCCCTAGCATTTATGCGCATTCTTCGAAAATAGGGAAAAACTGCTTTGTCCCACGCAGACACGCGAAAAGGCGCCTTGTCGCCATGCTGTTAAAGGACACAGTTCGCGACCGCGCAAATTGACAGAAATCGGAGTCACCTAGCCACAAACAAAGTGCTACAGTGTCTGAATTAGCGGAGAAAGCAGCAAAGAAAAAGCGTCTAAATCGGTTAATAGAGAAGATAACATATTGGCTACTATTAGACTAGCCTTAGCAGGCCGGTGAGGGTCGGCATGGGCCTAAGGGGTGTCCATGGGCCTAATTAGTCAGCTTCTAGCGGAGTTCTTGCCGTTTTTCACATTTTGAAAGCGCAGCCTCAAAATCGCCTTCCGGATCGTCCGACACATTTGAGAGGTCATAGCCTTATTTATGGCGGAACTGTGCCTTTAAACCACCAACGAGATCGTTTCCGGCTAAACCTGCGACAACATCGACCGTTCACGACCTCATTTGCGATCATTTGTGGACGAGCAACAAACCCATTTTCTACCACGCTCTCACCATCACCTGTTGAACAACAGATGGTCGACAGAGAAGTGAAAAAATCATGTTATGGACAAGGTAGGTATCGTTCAAAAAGAATAGCCGGAATTCTTCGAAATTAATATTCAGCAGTAATCACAACGCTGTGTGTTATGGGCAAAAAGTCCTACCCCAGGCGGGGGTCGAAACTCTATCCGTTACGCCACCAGGGCCGCTTTTACACTCTCAGCTTAACGGCTTTTATGCAGTAACCTTACAGCACTTCCACCGTCTAACGTGGCGAGGCCGCACCTCAGTCCTCGTAATTGTATAGATATCGGCAATGAACCGCCAGGCCGAGAGGCTTTACAAGTTTTAAGGTGTTTTCGTTGTCTATGAAGCCGCGTTTAACGCCGCGAATCGGCGTTCCGAATGTTCATCACGAACGAATGCTGAGTTGTGCGGCAAAAGTCGTACCCCCAGGCGGGAGTGAAATCGACCCCCCCCGTAGTTCCCTCATCATCGAGTTGTCGAGAGGGAGGGGGTATAGCTCATCTGAAACGTGAAAAACCTCGAGGAAAATACTATCTCCGTTCCCCCATCTACCTACAGCTTTCTTAGATTCTCCCATGTTCCCACTACTTTTACCAGTTTTTTTTCCCGGAATTCCCGAAAACTTTCCTACTTCTTCCCAAAAATTTCGCTGTCTAGCGGAAGCGGGGGGGGGGTGTGGCGAGGGGAGTGTATACTATGAAACCGGAAAAAAAAAAACCAGCCTCCTGAGAGCAAATACGTCTCCTCCCCCTCCTCAACC